AAGAATGTTGCGCCCCCCCCCCCCAAAAATCCTTTGAAAAACTGTTCATAATTTCAAGAACAGAAAAAAAAAATTGTTGCTATGAAAGGCTCAACAAAGTCGCCAACAATTTCAAGCTAGCATTTGCACTTCTGCTACCCACGCTACTAACTCACTCACACTCACTCCAGAATTTTATGCTTACAGTCAAACCTCGGTTTTCGAACGTCTCTGTTCTCGACCAAATCGGTTTTCGACTAAAAATTTCGAATTTTTTATGCCTCGGATTACGACCGAAAATCGGTTCTCGACCAAACTAAGCACACTTGAATGCGCCACTTGACCCCTGTCGCCTTCCTTACACGAGGAAGTGACACTTCCTCAGGTAGACGAGGAAGTGGCGCTTCCTCGTGTAGCATCCCATTGTTAGCAGACGTGTTCAATAAAGCTTTTTTTTTTTTTTTTAAAGATCGTGGTTTCGGTTTTCGAAAAAAGCGTTTTTCGAACAAATCGGTTTTCGAACAGCCTTGTGGAACGGATTATGGTCGAAAACCGAGATATGACTGTATTCATATTTATTTTCATGTTTTTTTTTGTTTGTTTGGAAGGGGCGAAAAGACCCGTTTCCACTGAGTGCAATAGTTCTGTTCACCAAAGTGAAATTTGCGACACTAAACTGGAACTGTAATTCACATTATTTACACTAAGGCAAATCCGTGCGCTTCTCATTGGCCAGCTTGTCAAACTCCAACAGGGTGGAACATTTCCGTCGCAGTTGGTACTTGCGATAGGCATAACAATCGATTTGATTGATTGTTAAAAATAAATGGTGCTTCAAAGGAAGTGCGTTGAAATGTATGACGTGGGTCATTTATTCTGATACCCAAGTGAACTGAACAATTTGGTGGAACCGGGGCTTGAAAAAAAAAAATCACAAAGCCTCCCATATTGTGTCCAGTGCCCGCAACTGTTTTCTTGTCTGTCTGGCTGTTTGTCTTGCAGCTCCCCTCGCCTTAACTCGCAGGCTAGTCGGGATAAGGTGCCAGCCCCAAGGTTAGCTCAACATGTTGCTTGCTCGTATGATCGCTGAGCGAAGAAGTGCCGGGGGGTGGGGGGGAGGGGTGGGCTGTGTACATCCTCTGAATCTTTATTTATAGATCCAAAGTCACTCCGATCACCTTGCCACTGAAACTCTTGAACCCAACTGTGGTGGAAATTCTGAAGCCTCCCGGACGGCTTGACACGGAACGCGTATGGTCATGATCCAACTGGTCCTGCCGTACCACGGTCGTAAAAAGCATGTTGTAATTTGACGTTGGCGTACCAGTGCCGATTGACATAAATTCTCGCTTCATCCATCAGTTTTACGTATCACTTGGAAGCCAACTGACTTTGGATGACCGCCACCTTGGACTGGTGCCAGCCAATTTTCAGGGCACTTATTGACAAACAACCATTCACACTCACATTGACATTTATGGCCAGTTTACCGGAAGAGCCTTGAATTCACCTAGCACGCATGCTATGGGATTGCGATTGGAAGCCGAAGCACCCACGCTAAGCACGGGAAAAACATGCAAACTCCACACAGTGATGCCGGAATTGAGTTTCGAAACCTGAACTTCACAACTGTGAAGCAGACATGCTGAGCGCTACTTGACCGCTATTTACTGTCCTCTAGAAAATGGAGACGAAAGAACGATCATCTACAAAACCCAAAATAGCCCTTGGTCATCCGGTATCGATCGCACGGTCACTTAAGTTCATCAGTTTGTTACCATAGTTGTCCAAATAATGTCCAAACATTCTTCCCTGCTTCCCCCAGCACAGTGAAAGTGTGTCACCACTTGAATGTTGTTGTGAATGGAACGTCGGTCTTACCAGCTATGTTTGGCCTTCCAGCTGCTAAAGACTTTTTTTCTTTTTTTTTAAGTCCTCCGCTATGCTTGATCGACGCTGACGGCCTCCCTGATCCCTCCGCCAGCTCCGAAACTTATAAATACTCTTGAGGCCCTGCTGATGGCCGCCTCTGATCTGGCTTAGCATTCCTCTGCGTTGAGCTAACTTGGCAGCAGAGGTTCCTTTTCGTTTGACCTGCTAACAAAGCGCTTGGTTCCAGGCGACTTTCCAACAGCACCCTGATGGTCCACTGGACATTTCGACTATTCAACAGTCTTTGTGTTTGAGCAAAATCACTGCAAAAAACAAAAAAAAAATGAATCATTCGAGCTTGGGAAGCCACACCCCCTGGCCAATCAAGAGGTCTTGTTTGTGTTTGCGTCCGCTGTTACGCGCGACGTACGCGGATCTACACGCGAATCGACAAGCGTAATTCAGCTGCATGGTCATGAAGTGCTCCATCCTTCAGTGAAAATAGAATCAATACTTGCACTCTTTCAGCACTCGTAGTAGCTCCTCCCCTCGTCACCATGGTTACCAATGCTCAGAAGTGGCCCTGCAGCAGAGTGGTCTTTGCATTATTATTATTATTATTTGTATGAGAGTTATTTGGCAAATTTGAATTTTGGAAGCGTAACAGTGTCAACATCAGGTATCAAAGTCATTATATCATTATAATTGATAACTGATTGCCGTTGTCATCACTTCATTGATCTTTAACCCCTTCTGGGACGGCGGACACGACAGTGGACAGCTGATCACGTTATCGGGTTACAGGTTATTATTGGTCGATGAAAGGGTTAAGAAACAGATGGTCAGAGCTTTCCATTATTCTCGATGACCATTGAAAATCATACTGTCAAAAAAAGTAATTGATTCATTGATTGAGTGACCCAAATGAAGCATGTGAATTCAGTTTGAAAAATCCTCATTCGCTCTGTTCAAAATGATAAAACGTCAGCGATCACGTCGCTCGTTATTGTGACAAATGGTGTTAATAAATTGAAGCGATGTATGCTCCGAAGGTGTCAAAGCGTCAATAGAATTAAGCCTCGCGGCCCCAACGCTCCATCAAACCACCATCACCTAGCTTATCGGATTAAGTCTCGTCCTCCATAATTGCGCCAGACTGCCGTTTTACTGCTTTCGAGTGTCCCGTTTTAAAAAAAGGGCCGGGTGATGAAGCGGCGGAATGAAACTCCTCTCCCTAATTTTTTTTTTTTTTTTTTTTTTTTTTTTTGGGCCGAAGAGCAGTCGTACGTCACCTCGGTCATTCCACTGCAAAATCGCTTTATTTGCGATAATCCAAACCACATGCCAAAGGTTGCGACTTTTCTTACATCCCTGTTTGTTGTCATTGCAAAAAAAAACAAAAACAAAAAAAAAAAACTATTTGAGGTCATTCTTAACATATCCTATCCATTGAAGTCATTGCACTGTTGTGCTTACAGAAAAAGAACACAAGCAGGTCCAATATCAATAGAGCGATGAATAATATTGACCTGTAACCTCATACGTAGGCGGGTGAGAAGGAGGTTAATTTTTGTCCCAGACAGGCCCTGGACATTTCGACTATTCAACAGTCTTTGTGTTTGAGCAAAATCACTGCAAAAAACAAAAAAAAAATGAATCATTCGAGCTTGGGAAGCCACACCCCCTGGCCAATCAAGAGGTCTTGTTTGTGTTTGCGTCCGCTGTTACGCGCGACGTACGCGGATCTACACGCGAATCGACAAGCGTAATTCAGCTGCATGGTCATGAAGTGCTCCATCCTTCAGTGAAAATAGAATCAATACTTGCACTCTTTCAGCACTCGTAGTAGCTCCTCCCCTCGTCACCATGGTTACCAATGCTCAGAAGTGGCCCTGCAGCAGAGTGGTCTTTGCATTATTATTATTATTATTTGTATGAGAGTTATTTGGCAAATTTGAATTTTGGAAGCGTAACAGTGTCAACATCAGGTATCAAAGTCATTATATCATTATAATTGATAACTGATTGCCGTTGTCATCACTTCATTGATCTTTAACCCCTTCTGGGACGGCGGACACGACAGTGGACAGCTGATCACGTTATCGGGTTACAGGTTATTATTGGTCGATGAAAGGGTTAAGAAACAGATGGTCAGAGCTTTCCATTATTCTCGATGACCATTGAAAATCATACTGTCAAAAAAAGTAATTGATTCATTGATTGAGTGACCCAAATGAAGCATGTGAATTCAGTTTGAAAAATCCTCATTCGCTCTGTTCAAAATGATAAAACGTCAGCGATCACGTCGCTCGTTATTGTGACAAATGGTGTTAATAAATTGAAGCGATGTATGCTCCGAAGGTGTCAAAGCGTCAATAGAATTAAGCCTCGCGGCCCCAACGCTCCATCAAACCACCATCACCTAGCTTATCGGATTAAGTCTCGTCCTCCATAATTGCGCCAGACTGCCGTTTTACTGCTTTCGAGTGTCCCGTTTTAAAAAAAGGGCCGGGTGATGAAGCGGCGGAATGAAACTCCTCTCCCTTCTCTGAATTTCCCACTCAGCACTTTGCCCGTCAGGCTGCAAGCATGGAGACTGCGTGGGGCCCAACCAGTGCAAATGTCACGCAGGATTCACGGGGAAGACCTGCAATCAAGGTGAGCCGGGCTGAGCCCTTCAACTTGGCACCACTGTCAACATCTGAGGTCATCGCTTGTCACGCACTTCCTCAAACATGTCAACGCCCGTCATTTCTCGCCGCTCGTATCGCTTTAATTGTGCTTGAAAGTGAGCATAAAATATGATGATTGGGCGAAACGGCCCAAAGAGAGATGTCATCGAAGTGTATCATGTGCTCCCTGTTGTATTTTCTTTTTAAATTAGTCATTCATTTTACGGATAATTTGGCAATCAATTATTTGAAGCAAAAAAAAAAAAACGGAATTTCCCGTCACGAATTTGGCTGGTGATCCAAGTTTTTATAAGTGGGTTGAAAGGATCTTGAGGATGGCGGCAGTGAAGAAGAAAAGACTGACTTTGAGCAGTCAGTGTGTCTTTTCCATCCATTCAGAGCCTTAATTTTAAATTTTGGTTTTCATTGAAGAGATTTTAGTTCTACTGTCACCTGTTTGTTTTCACATTGTTTTGACGTTTAGCAGTACCTAAGGGATTGTTTAAAAAAAAAAAGAAGTCGCTGATTTATAGCGGATTTCATATCCAAGATAACGCAACGTGCTTCACAAACTGTAATTAAAAGTACAACCTTTAAACTAACTTACAGAGTTAAAAATATTTAAAAGTAAAGAAATAAATTGCCAAAAGAGACAAAGAACAAGATTTTGGAAAATATGATTTTAGAAATACTGAGAAGGACTTTAATCCTAGCTATGGCAAAAGAGTGCGTAGTTTTTTCAACATGGGTTTAAGAGCATTTACTCTTTACTGGTCTGGTTTGAATCATGACTTGTTTCATATTATTCGCTCTGATAATAAAGGATGCAGGCAAATCGGAGGAGAGCATTATTACAAGTACGGAGAAACAAAAAAAAGCTTTTTAAAGGTGATTTTGGGTGCCGTATTAACCGTGGGTGCGTGTTACTCTCGGGATTTTACAATAAATACAATCTTTAGCTTTAACTTTCAATCAGTGTTTAAAAAAAAATAATTTAACTAAATTTCCCCAAAAATGGAGTTGCCTGATTATGCCTTTAAAATCTCCGGCGCCCGTATTGAAAACCACAACCTCAGAACTGTAACGTGATTAACCACTCACGCACTGACGCCGACTGTCGAGCATTTTTATCGGAATAGCATTTTCGTTTCTGGAGACAACCTCGGATGTTTTAAAGCCAGAGCACGTCATGGAAGCAGAGTGAATTATTCACGAGCCATAGATTAAACGTGCTCATTTAAATGCATGCCTTCATTAAACATTGATTAAGGGTTTACGATTGATGTGCGTGGCAGTCTGCGCGCCCCTTATCAAGGCGAGCGCCATAAGTCGGCCAACGGCTGGCGCGTGCCAATAAAAGGTCAAAGTGCCACCGCTGCCGCCCCCTGTTTCAAGCGCTTAAACCAAACGATGACCCGGGAACTGAAACCGTAGGCAAGAGCCTTGATCAGTAAATGCAAATGAAACACGTCTGCGGTGCACCTGCATTCGTCAACGGACGCGCATTCCTGTGCTTTGAGTGGGAGGCGAAGACAGACACGTGACCCCGGAGGCGCTCGGAGCAACAGCGCTTTGAAACGCACAGCGCAGCACAGGTTGAGCGCTTGATGCGCATACGGGATTTTGATTTATTTATTTATTTCCGAAAAGTCAGGCACTGTTAGCTAATAATAACTAAAATAGCAATCCGTGCTCGCCAAATTAGAAATCATTTTATTTTACTTTGCATTGTTAGCCGTTTAGACGATCGTATGGATCCAAACACGACTGTTGCCTTGTTGTTTGTGTGGCACTATTGTCTTATGATTTTATTATCCATCTACCCATACATTTTTTTGATCCGCTTACCCGCACAAGGGTCACGAGGCGTGCCGGAGCCTATTCCAGCTGTCTTTGGGCAATAAGCTGCGATCACACTCACACCTCGGGACAATTTCAAGTGTTCCATTAACCTGCCATGCATGTTTTTGGAATGTGAGAGGAAACTGGAGTACTCGGAGGAAACCCACGCAGGCAAGGGGAGAACATGCAAACTCCACGCAGGAAGGCCGGAGCCAGAATCGAAAGTTGCACCTCTGTGCTGTGAGGTCGACACGCGAACCAGTCGACCACCGGGCAGCCATAATTTATTATTTGTCGGGAACACCCCCCCCCCCACCACCCCCCATTTGAAACAAGCATGTTACATTGATTTTAAATGAGTGCATCACACGCACTCACTTTTTTTTTAATTAATTGATGACTCCAATGTTGTTTTGTGGCACCACATTCAATTTTTTATTTTTCTTTTTGTGTTCCTTTGGCAATTTTGTTTAAATTGTTGCTGCTTATCATTTTTAATCAGACTGTTTTGTTTTGTTTTTTGCATTTTAACGTTTCTTACACTATGTCCTGTTCCTTGAACTGCTGACCGTTTTGTTTTTACCTGACGTCCACCATGGAGAAAAATAATCTTGACAATTAAGAAATAAACTGCAAACAAAATTAAACAAAAACTGCTGAAGAAGAGTGTAAAAATAGGTTTCAAAAGCCTAAATTATATAACACTGAAATGACTTGACATCAGAGTTATTACTTCAAGAAAGAATGCTCTGGTTTTAACATTTTTTCCCCCAAGTCCTCCCGATAAAGGCCTGCGATCCGATTCAGCCTCCCATTAGAGGCTCTCATTATGCACGGCGAAATGCTTTTTTTTTTTTTTTTTTTTTTTACCGACTTCCTTTGCTATTTCCGTGCGCACTGTCTCGATGGGATCGCATAATATAAACGACTCGTTAAACAAACGCCTGTCAAGATCCCCCTCCAGATGCCTGCAAGCGGATGGGGATTTTAATCACGCTGCGCAAATAAACCCATCGCCGCCATAATCTCTCCCGACAATTTGGCGACACCGCCCGGTGGCAGAAGCCAACCTTCTAATTAGACGATTATTGCGCGTAGGTGACTTTAATGAGGTGGAGTCGACTTGGCTATTTAAAGACTTAGCTGCAAGCGCCGCGTCTCCCGACATCGCAGCACCTCCGTCTCCAACACCCGACGTCGTTTCATGTACACGGTGGGCGAGGAGTAGATCCGCATTTACACGAATCACCTTTTTAGAGAGGAAGAATGCAAGTTCGGGACTAATTGAACAAGGGTGGGATGAAGGAAAGAAGGGAGAAAAATGTATGAAAAAGGGAGAGTGGGAAGAAGAACGGCAGGACGGGGGCGAAAGGGAAGGTAGGCGGCGAGGAATAAAAGAAGGAAAAATGCAAGATTGGAAGGAAGCAAGGGTGGTTGGAGTAACTCAAAGTGAGAAAGGATGAAGGTTAAGGAAAGATGAAAGGAAGGTCTGAAGAATGGAAAGATGGAAACTTGCAAGGCGGGTCTCAGGACTGAAGGAGGAAAAAAGGGAAGGTGGCGTAAGGAAGGATAGAAGCAAACAAGGGTGGTATGAATGGAAGGAAAGACGCAAGGTTGGATGAAAGGGAGTCAACGCGGATGCGATGAAAGGAAAGAAGGATGAAAGGAGGGACAAAGGAAGGAAGAATGGACATCGAATGACTCGATGGAAGGTAGGAAGGAAGGAAACAAGGATGGGAAGGAAAGGGTGAAGAAGCTCCCTGCCACTTTTTTGGATCTCCACCAGGCCACCACCCCCGCAAAACCACACCGGTCTTAAAACACTCCTTTGAACCCTTAATCCTTGTTTAAAACCCTAATGACTGTCTTAAAACCATCATTTTGACACCCTGACCTCGGCCAGGAACCGTACCTTTCAACCAGAACCTTGGCTAGAAACTCTATTTTGAAACCATAAAAACTCTTGCTTGAAACCTTTTTATTTGAAAACCCAATCTGGTCTCCTAACCTTTCTTGAAGCCAGATTCCGTCAATCCACCGAACCCTATCTTTCCTTCTTTACGGATTTTCCGCCCGTTTGTGTAAAACTGGCAGCCTTCTCCAGGCCACATTCTAAACAAACTAGTCCGTTTGAAACGTCTCCTTTTGAAATCCTCCGGCATCCAAAGAAGTCAGAGCGCAGCGTTGTTCCCCGTCACATCCAAACAGGTGTCCGGTGCCGCGGGAGAACATAGTTGGACAGGGAGAAAGCGGAATGCCTCAAATTCCTCCGGCTTAAGCGTTTGTCGTCAGGGTGCGACGATTCGCTTCTTTAAATGGAAGCAAGCGGTCTTTACCGAAGGATGTTACAAATCCGCAAGATACTGTAATTCCCTTACATCCGACTACAAAAAAAAACGGGAACGGTTGAACGGCTGGCAGGAGAAAGAGACGGCTTTCTCCCAAATGGCCTTCCTCCATGTGCATCTCCGCAAGTGTAATCCTCTTTACTGCGTAATGTTCCTCTTTACTTTCCAGGAATGTGGCGGTCAGAGGTGTTCTAATCCACCGCCTTCTCATTCTCTTGTCCCCTCCACCACTTTTTCTCTTTTCGATTTACCTTCTTCCTTTCCGCCAAAACCATCTTCTTCTTTTTTTTCCCCCCCTGCCAAGAAGATCAGCCGGACTATTTGACTCCACTGATGTGGTCCAGTCACCTCCCCATATTCCTACCTGTGGATCAACATCCGGTGACGGAGGGTGAGATTTCTCCTTCTGACCTGGGAGGCCACACGAGAAAAGCACCAAAACGAGAGGAATGTCCGCACGAAACGTCCGCACGAAATGCCGAGCATGCGTTGATTCGAAGCATTTGCCTTTGTCGCGCTCCTTTTTAAAGGCCGTTCTAAACCTTTTGGATGCCACTCACGACCGCTCTTTCGCCGTTAGTGCAGTGCCTGGAGAGCTAATCCCTGAGAAAAGGAGCCCGCTGCTGAGATCTATGTCTGTAGGGAATGCAGCTCGGCATACCTCCGTGGGACTCGTTTCCCAAGTACATGACTCCACTTCACCGATGACATGGCCAACGCCTTATGATGGGCATAAACTGTGAGAATCACGCCGGATTCAACCCCAACTCACTTTCGGCATCTGATTTTCAAGATCAGTCGGTATGCTGAGAGGTGCAACTCTTGGCTGAATTTGTAGTACAGTCTATTTTGAGGGCTTTCTTCTTTTTTTTTTTCTTTTTGTTTGTGAAATCGATCCTCAGCTATTACGGTCAAAGACGCCACGAAAGGCAGCCAAAGCCCTGGCGAATAGGAAAGTAGTAATTGGTCTCAAGGAAAACATTTTCGTGACAAAAATCAGAGGGAGGCTGGCTTCGGTTGTTCTTTGAGGTAATGGCGAGTCTTGACAACATGTGATGGGATATCCTTCCTTGAAGAATATATATATATTTTTTTTAACGGCATTATTAGGTAGAATTTGCCTTTCAAAGTATATCCCGATGCGTTGAAAGAATCTTCCCCTGTATTCCAATTTATTGAGCTACACTCGCCTCTCGGCGTTCCGACAGAAAGTTAACACAACAGACAGATGGAGAGAGAGAGAACGTAACTAAAAACGACAACCTTAGAAGATGACGCTAATTTCAAACAGGAGCTTTTAGTTCAACTCAACTCAACTTCGTTTATCTCGGACTTGAAAACCACCATTGCTGCATACAAAGTGCCAACTTTACAACCCCCCCACCCCACGCACCTGCCCAGTGCCTCAGGTCTGCGGACCAGATGCGACTGGAGATACCGAGGACGAAGCAGAAACAAAGCAGAACCGGCAAGTGGCAAATAGAAACAGAATGGAATACGGCGTCGGTGTAGCGAGCTAGCTAGACAGTGCTAGACCCCGTAAGGAAGGAGCGTGACAAGCAGCAAATGGGACAAGACGGGGGCACGAGCCGGTCTGGGTAGTTAGCTAAGCAGTGTGACACCTTGTGAAGACGGGTCGCCACGAGTAGCAAATAGGACAGGATGTAACATGGTTAGCGAGCTAGCAAAGCAGCACTACTTCCTGTGAGGAAAGGACCTGATGGTAACGAGTAGGAGATAAAGAGTGGGCGATTGCAGTGGTGAGTTGGGGTTTGAAAACAACGCTTGAAAAAGGTCCGGTGTGTGTGTCCACACTCCCTTGCTTTAGCGTTTCACCACCACACTTCGGCCTTGAGCTATCACACTTTTAGACTTTTCTCTCTGTCACTGTTCACAACGTCTCTGCACCATATGCTTTTCTCTTCGCAGGATGTTTGGCATGTGCTCTCCAAAGGTCCTCTTTGAATCCCTTGATTCTTCTTTTGACAAATGAATTGCTGAGGGGTTTTTTTGGGGGGGGGCGTGGGGGGCTTTAACACTGAAAACTGGCCTGATGTACAGAAAATGATACTCTCAACAACCAGTTTCACTGATCAACATGAAATTGAAAGGACATGTCTTTCATGCACCCTGTAACCTGACACCATGATTAGCTGTCCACTGTAGTAACCGCTGTCCCTAAAAGGGTTTAAAAAAAAAAAAATCTCAAAGACTCAAAATTGAAAAGTGAGTCAGTCGTTTTGTTTTGATTTTGACAGATTCCTACAAGGGGTTTCGGCCAAATCAGCCCCAAACGGAAGAAGTTACATTGGCACATTTGCAACTTTCATGCCGGTTTGGTTTTCAGCGCCACAGGCAAGCAAAGACCCCACTGAACGCCATCGCTTTTGGTTTCTTTGTTGTCACAGTAATGAGAACACCTGCCGTCGATTTAAGGGGAAACACTGTTCGCTTGGTGAGCAGAAAGGATTACTGTAAATCATTTAATGGCCAGGACATTTTTTTTTTTTTTTTAGAATTGTGCATTCAATCCCCGGTACTTCTTGATGTACTTTTTTTTTTCACGTGTTAGGGTAAACAAGAGCCTGAAAATGGCTGGCACTTAATGAGATAATTAAAAAAAGTGAAGAGATTTTTTTATTTTATTCTTTTTTTATGTTTGCCGTGCATGAGGGCACACAGCCGTAGAGCTTTAAAGACGAAGCAGTTAAATGCTTCCCTCTGACAAGGGCAGGGCAGCGTTCATATGAAAGGGCAGGTGAATTATTTTAAGGCCTTTAAAAACCGCAGGTGGCGTTGGGTACGAAGCCCCTGCAATGTGATTTATGATTGGGAAAATACGACCTGCGGTCGACCTGTTACTTTGTGTAAATGAAGCAGTCAAATCGTCTTCAGTTCTGTCATGAAAGCCGCTAATAACGAGGTAAACAAAATCGTCAACCGAACTTCCACAAGCCGCGTTGCACTTATTAGAATTATTTAATGAGTTTTCATAAAAAGGCCTCATTTGACACGAATTTTGTAGTGGTTGATGCACAACTGTGACATTAAGATTAATTAATAGAAGAGAAAATAACATGAATAGCTGTCCACGCTAGTAACCGTCCCTGAAAGGTTTCAGTGGGGGGTGGGGGGGGGTTCCAAGCATCTTTAGTTCTTCCAACTTTTGTTTGCTGAAACGCTGTCACCCCGCAAATTGGGAGTGCGGACAGGGAATGCATTCCACAGCTGCATTCAAAGCTAAATGCCAACTGTAGCCACCCATTATTCCGCCAGGCTTTAAGCAACTACAACTTGCTATAAATAGAAGAGTTCCATCCTATGTCCAAATGAACCCGCGGGTGCGCAGTGCGTTAAATGTGGAAGGTATGCAGAAGACCCGCCGACAAAGCACCGGGCACGTTGTCCATGGTGCTTAAGTTGGCATCGTTGACAAAGCAGCCGTCTGACCTTAACACATTGTGACCATGGAATCTATATGTGCAAGATAAAACCGGGTTTATTTACCAATGTCATGGCGACAACTGTTGATGCTCCGTTTGCCTCCGTTTGATCCCGGAACTTTTGTACTCTTTGTTAGCATGTGTATCATACCCGTTTGTACTCTCACCCTTAAGCTCTTCTTCCACGCTCCGTAGCACCGATTGAAGAAAGCTAATTGGCCCTCCGTTTACCAAAGCTGCTGAAATAATAGCCTTAAAGTATAAGCGCTTTAATTTGTGGTAAACTATAGTTTTGTGGACACACGTCAATGTAAGTTGTGTTTGACAGAGAATCGCCACAATGCGGGTTTCGTTTTGAGAAGCTACGATAAGTCTGGTGGGATTTTATTTATTTATTTATTTTTTAATAAACAAAAAAAAGGAAAAAAATCGAGGCATTTACACAGTCTCTTCAATGAATGAAAGTGTGGTCTGTTACTGATTAGCATGCCATGGCTTCACAATGCTGTGCGCGTGCCCCCCTTCAAAGACACTTGCCCGTCTGCAGTTGAGTAAATACATGCCCCCCCTCCCCCCGCCCGACGCAATTTGTGGCTGCGCTACATTAAAGTGTCGCGTAGAATCATAGGGCATGATTTGCCGCCACTTCACTAAATACGCTTTACAGAGTCTGATGATTTAATACGCCCGTGGATGAAATAGTTGCATTCACAATGTAAAGGACTAAATCAAAGGCTATTGATTTGCTTCCGCCTTTTTGGTGCGCGTGAGATGCAGCGCGGCGTGCAGTGCGCCCAAGGAGAAGGCATCAGAGCCATTAGTCACACCCGTGGTTTTTCACACTGGGAAACATCAAAATAGTCAGCCGTCGGGGAGTCTGGGTATGAATAAGGAATAAAGCTGTCACTTTGGCCTGGTTAAAGCATTTAGGAAGCAGACGTAAGAAGAAAATGAAGTCGTATCAGGATCGTTTCTCAGCTCACTGACGGGTAGAAAGCGGTGATGACAGTGACGCGAAGGCAGCGAGGGAACAGAGATTTATGCGGTTATTAACTCTGGATATGCTACCTATGCTCTTGTGGGGCGGGGGCAGAGCGCTTAATTTTTTTCTGATGGGATTTTTTTACACGCCCCATAGGTGGCCTGTCAACATGAAAGAAGCCAAAAATGATGCACTGCTTCTATGAGAGACAGCTGGATGGCGTCCCGGTGAACTTGCCATGAGTCAGCGGGATTTAATAACATCGATCGCTCACGTGCAGCTAACTTTGCAAACTTCTGTGAATTGTCAAAGTTGGGAACTTTCAATTAACTCGACATCCCGGTTTTTGTTCGACAACGAAATGCATTGATTATTTGATAATATTTAAAACCAGATCAAGTTTGACTAATCTGTTGAAATGCCCTGCGTACATTTGTATGATTGTGTATGAACATCCGCTTATGACAAAAAGAAATAAAATGGTCATATTTAAGATTGACAATGATACCTTATAATTCATGTGTCCAGTATGCAATATTTACAAAAAAAATTACCGGAAATTCGCCACCCCTTTGCAACTCTTTGTGCAGTGGACCTTTTCAGTCACTTCTAGGCTTCCTGTGGATGAAGGTGAAGTCCGTGGACACGTGCAAACATGTCGGCCTTCTCCAAAAACACAAACCCTTGAATGGATCCAACCTCTTCACCTCTGCCCTCGCTGACTAATTTCTGCCCCTCCTTCGTTCTCCTGACGCCGTTGCTCGTCTTGTCTGCAGATCTGAACGAGTGCGGGCTGAAGCCACGGCCCTGCAAACACAGGTGCATGAACACCTACGGCAGCTACAAGTGCTACTGCCTCAACGGCTACATGCTGATGCCCGACGGCACCTGTGGAAGTAAGTATGTCTCATACAGTAAATTGGAGTAAATATGAGGCCAGTACATGTACACAGAAGAGCCTTTCATATGCCTCAAAATGGCTGGATTACAGCAGCACCTAACAAGAACATTCAACAATTTCATAAAATTCCTAATGTGGGGCCAGTACATGTATGCAGTAGAATATAATGAGTGTTTCATATGCCTCAAAATAACCGGATTACGGATTACAGCAGCACTTAACAAGAACATCCAACTATTTTATAAAATTCCTATCCATAATTTTAATATCAGCCACCGACAGCAGAATAATGCCATACAGAAAATACTGTCTGCCCTCACTACTTTGGAGTTCAGTTAGTGTGAATTCACTCTGTTGCGGACTTTCATTTCCGACCCCAACTTCATGCGTACAGTCGGAGTGTAACAAACCTAAAAAAAAAAAAAAAATCAGGAACAATGTAATCTTATTGGCTGCCCTCTGGTGTTTCCCAGCAAAGGGAGAAGATGCCTGTGCATGTCTCCCTATAAATACCGTCACCTCTCCGAATAAACATTCTCTCTCTTCATGTTTTTCCACCTGAGCGCCCTGTCATTTCCAGTATCTCGCTTTTTTTTGTTGGGCTTTTTTTTTCATCGCTTACCACTTGAATCTGTGTTCCGCAGTGCCGCTTGAAGGACGGTATTAGAATTGCCTCTGCCGCTTGAGCTCTGATCAATAGATCAGTGCAGCATTTAATCAGCTCGCTCCAACATCATCAAACTGCAAGACGTCCACAAGTGCCCCGACAATTTCCTCGTCATGGTTAGAACTTATCGAGATGACGTGAGCAAATTCCAGTTGACCCTATAATCGTTCTGGAGGGATTTCGTGTGCACAACATGAACCAACGACGTCTCATCTGATGTTGCTGACGGGACGGAAAATAGACAAGTCTGTTGTAATTATAGATTTGCAGTATTGCTAGATGATGTTAGTTTTTAGGCCACATTTCAAACCGCTGGGCCACCGGGCTTCCCTGTGTGGGGAAAAAAAAAATCCTGGCTGAGAAATGATAAATAATGTATGTATGGTTTGGTCCTTGAAGCACTAGAATGCGACAATGTCACAGTGTGTTTTGTTCCTTTTGTCCCCGCCCACAATCGGCCTGATCGTATGGCCAAAGCGCTTTCTCTCGGGGCACCAGCTTGCGCTAATGTGTCTCGTTTCCTTTGTAACTACCAGACCTTCGCACTTGCAGCATGGCCAACTGCCAGTACGGCTGCGAGGTGCTGAAAGGGGAGGTCCGATGTCAGTGTCCGTCGCCGGGGCTACAGCTCGCTACGGATGGTAGAACCTGCGTGGGTAAGTGACATCGCCGTCTTGATTTACCTCCTCTGGCTTGAAAGTTGAGCCGCCGGCTGCTCCTCCTTTTTTGTAGGACTCACGCAATACATCACCGAAAGGAATGCTGTGGGTTTTTTTTTCCTCCCCTCGGATCTAAGAGAAAACTTTTGTTTCATTACTTTGGCTGAGCGCGCAATTTGAAATAATAAAAATTGGTTTAGGAAAGAGCAAAGCTGGGAGCAAAAACAAATCAGAGGTGGACATCCTCCAAAGTCGAGCCCAGCTTTTTTTTTTTGACCCCGGTGGTTCACAACCATTTGTTCAAATGATCAAATGATCAAGCTGTCAAAGCCGTTCTTTTATAACAGGGGTGTCAAACTCGTTTTTGTCGCGGGCCACATTGTCGTTAGGGTTTCCCTTAGAGGGCCGTTATGAATTTTGGGAAACCACATATGACATACACAGTGCACACAAAAATTGATGAATAAACTAGTTTTACAATCAGAAGTCAAGAATAATGACTGTTATTGTGGATGACATATGACGATTTGAAAATTTGGTTCAGACCTTAGCGAGCATCGTGGAGCTTGACATGCTTCATTTGCTTTTGCGGGCCACATAAAATGGTGTGGCGGACCAGATCTGGCCCCCGAGCCTTGACTTTGACATCTGTGTTTTAGAAAGTTTCTCTGTCTTGTCCAGGAAAAGCAAGACGACGACGAAGTTTTCATTTCTGCCTTACGGCCCCCGAATAACTTGCGGGTGGGGTAATTGTAGGACACGGAATGGACATGAGTCATAAAGACAGGAGGAGGAGAAGAAGCAAAGCCTGCTGCAGGTGTTGCAAGAGGTGCCTCACTTCCGGCTCAGTCTTCAACTTTTTATGACCTGATTATTTTGTTGCAGGACAGACAGACCGTTCACCAAAATTCAAGACAGCCCCCTTTGTTTTGATGGTTCTGGTTGGCAAAAAGGATCGGTTCTTAGCACATGGACCCCAAAATAAGAAGCTTCTGGCTTCAAATCATGTACTCCCTTCACAACACCTATGCTAGCTTCACAGAAAATTTGAGCTCATGTCGTCTGCCTCTTTTTCTGAATTTTCATGACTGGTTTAAAACGCGGCACGGTGGAAAAATTGGTGAGCACGTCCGCCTCACAGCGCAGAGGTTGCAGGGTTTGATTCCTGCTCTGGGCCTTCCTGTGAGTAGTTTGAATCTTCTCCCCGTGCCTGCTTGGGTTTTCTTCGGGTACTCCGGTTTCCTCCCACCTTCCAAAAACATACACGGCAGATTCACGGAACACTCCAAATTGTCCCGAAGTGTTATTGTGAGTGCGGATGATTGTTCGTCTATGTGCGCCCTGTGATTGGCTGGCAACCGGTTCAGGGTGTACCCCGCGACCTTCGTGAGGATAAGCGGATCAGAAAATGGATACAAAACTATCGAGGGGGGAAAAAAAAATGTCATCACGAATGTGCGTCTGGAACTCCTACAATAAACGTTCAGCCATCGTGGATGTTTACGTGTACTGTATATTGGTTGATGGTTTCAGATACTTCATAAATGTAAACACGGCGATACAAAATGCCGGTCACTTACAAGTATGTGTAAATAGACCAAACGAGAATAGGATAAGCGGTTCTGGAAACAGATGAGTGGATTGTCGATTGATTGACAAGGAGGGGTTGAAGATCAAGCCGAAAGACATCAACGTGGAAGGGGAAAGTAAGAGGGGCCTCACGGCGCTAATGGGGGGCTGTGACTCTTGGCACCGAAAGCCACACTAAGAATATTCTAGGAACAACATGTGAGGTCCCCCATTGCCAAACGAGCCCAGTCTACAGTCTCGTCTAATTTTGACTCTTGCCCACATACCGTAACAACGTCCACATGGCCAAAGATGAGACGCTCATGTCCGTGGAAAGAAAACGCAAACGGTATGAATGACTAATAGAGATCTTTGATCTTCCTGTCGCCATTTTCGCAGACGTGGACGAGTGCGCCACCGGGATCGCCGTGTGCCCCAGATTCCGCAAGTGCATCAACACCTTCGGCAGCTACATCTGCAAGTGCCACGACGGTTTTGACCTGCAGTACATCAACGGGAAATACCAGTGTATCGGTACGCGGCACTCCACATTTATTTTGTGGACATTCGGAACTGCAAATCCCAATGCTTGTCATTTAGAATTTTTGGTGGATTTAAAAGACGTCCAACTGTTTATTTCAAAACAGCCTGGCGAGTGGGTGTGTAAAGAAAACTCCTCATATTCAATTAACTCTCTTTAACCTTCTGCGTTTTTATCCTCACGATTTGTGTATGCCTCGCTTCCTTTTTTTTTGGGGGGGGGGGGGACGATTCTAGCTGGGGTAATGGGTTTTTGTCTGATTTTGTAATTTCCAGTTTTAGCTTTTTAAATGCAGCGGCCATCAAGTCTGCGGCTCCTGTACAAATGGCAGGTTCATCTGATTTCATCATTTTGGATTTTTTTTTTTTCCTCTCCTTTTAATGTGACTTATATGACTCACACAACTCAATAGGAAAGTCAAATTTATTTTCAAAAGTGGAAGTGTGGCTGAAAGACACTTTCTCTGACATTTTAATGGATTCATTCTTTTCATTTTTTTTTTCTTTGAAATTTTTAGGCGGAATTCTAAGTTGCAATGCGTTGCAAAAGGTTGATTGTCAAGGACAAGGTTCCCAAACTTAAAAGTGCCCTCATTATGATTAGCTTCTTCATATTTCAATGGGTCAAATTCCAAGGTGTGATGCAACGCGCTCCATAATGCCACAGGTAGAATTGGACTTACAGTGGTATCTCTACTTACGAAATTAATTGGCTCTGGAAGAAATTTATAAATGAGAAAATTTTGTAAGGAGAGACACATTTTCCTATAAATGCCTTCATCCGTTCCAAGCCTCTCCAAAATTCAGACATAAATGTTTTCTAAAGCATAAAAATGCATCAAAATATGTAACAAAAAACATTTACAGTTATATTATTGCACAATAAGTGAAAGTTGTGCATAATGTAAAAAAACAAAAAATAGAGGAAAGAATAACAATGATGGTCATTTAACTTTTAACTTGGTTCCCATCATTTTTTTCCCTCTTTAGTTCACGTTCTTTCTCAAAAGTGGTTTTTCCCTGGCGTTTTGTCAAGAACCGATCCAAGGACATTTGCTTTTGTCTGCTTTTAACAATCCTTCAAAAATGTCCAAGGCAAACATCAGCATAGTGAGCGATCATCCGACTGGTGAACACTTTTTCTGAGGATTTACATTCACGTCAAACTATCGGAACATGGAAAATGGCAGACCCTATACACGATCAGACATATGGTTTAAGAAGGCTTTTGGTGGCACATGTGTAACCCTTTGTGATCCTGCCTTAACACCATCAGGTTTTGGCCGCAATTGGCCTGCTAATAATCTTTTGCAGTCGTGTCACGATTGCTCATTCAATTCCGTCTGTTTGCCCCGTACCCTCACGTTTTCGTTTTGTTTTTTTTTTTTCTCCCTTTCAGACGTGGACGAGTGCTCTTTGGAGACGGCTCGCTGCGGCGGCTACGCCACCTGCTTCAACACGCCGGGCTCGTACAAGTGCAAGTGCAAAGACGGCTACAGGGGGATGGGCCGCGACTGCAAACGTAAGACGACACGGGAAAAGGAGATGGGATGAGCCCTCTTTTCTTTTTGAGAGTTGTCAATCACTGCCAAAAGCCCCACCGCACCCTCCTCCGTTTTTGCATCCTGATCACGTTTACCCAGAATGTTGCTCGTCCATTCTGTCTATTTGAATCAGGGCAAAGAGTCATTGAGCTAGCAAAATGTATTTATTTTACAGGAGGGTTCCTCCCGGCTCTCACACACTCCATTAGTTCCCAGAGAATTATATTCGTTGAGTCCTTCAGCAGACATTAATGGAGTGGCAGTCCAGTAAGCAGGAAGGACATGCCACTTCCTTTCCCCATCATCAAGGGCGTCAGGGTGGGTGGACACCCGGATGGGGCCCCCCCCCCCCCCCCACTCCTCCTCCTATTCCGCGCACCCCAACAAAACCGCAGACCCCCATCATGCCTCCTGACGTGAAGAATGCGCACGAGAACAAAAGGACAAAGTCCATGACATCATCAAAATGCGGTTTGCATGTGGTCTGGCCCCCACTTCTGGGGCACAGAACTTTCCTGACTTGACTCGTGTCCGATTTAAGTCACCTTTTTAGGATTTGGGACTTGCTTAGGCACTCCGGAGTACAAGGCGCACCTTCCATGAATGGCCTATTTTAAAATTGTTCATCTATAGCGTGCACCGCATGAAAAGGGCGCAACACTCCGGAGTACAAGGCGCACCTTCCATGAATGGCTTATTTTAAAACTGTTCATCTGTAGCGTGCACCGCATGAAGAGGGCGCAAAGAATAGAAGCTACCATAGTGGCTGCAGTTGCGTTATGCATCCACTAGATGGAGCGACGCGAAAGGGAATACAATACAATACAGCTTTCTTTGTATCGAGCTTTTACGACCGGATGGAGCGACGCGAAAGGGAATACAATACAATACAGCTTTCTTTGTATCAAGCTTTTACGACCGCTGCAGCTGGAACAAAGCATTTTACAGAACATTTAAAATACGACGTCCAAGAAATCAGAATATTGATCCATATATAAGGCGCATCGCATTACAAGGCGCACTGTCAGGTTTTGAGAATGCTTTTAGGTGCACCTCATTGTGCGGAAAATACGGTACCTGGAAAAATATTTAAAACCAAACCATTCCTTAAGGTGAAAACGCAAAGATATTGAACTTCAAATTTTAATACATAGGCGGTGATTCTTTTGCTATTGAAGGAGCGCTATTCACATTCACACCAAACAGGACATTTTTTAACGTAAATGGTTGTTTGTCTTCATGCGCCCTGTGACTGCGCCCCGCTTCTGTTGCCAAAAGTCTGCAGGGATAGGCTCACGCTCCCCTGCGACTCTGAGCGGCTTAAGTGCTGTAAAACCGCCCGTGGCTGTGTGACGTGCCGCTTATTTGAAGAGAGACATTTGGGGGACATCACAGGATTGAGGAAGCGACTTCATGCATATTAAAAATGTTTTCGTGACACTTAATGGCCAATTGTCCGCCTCGTTACGCTTTCACTTCTTGTTAGCGCTCCATCTGCACGTTCTCGTCATTCCAGCCATTCCCAAGGTGGCCATCGACCCGCCGAGGCCCGGCAAACTGCCTCCCAGCTTTCACAACCACCTGCCGGACATCGACCAGAGAAGGACCACCACCACCACCACCACGCGAGGTCCACTGGTGACCCACCGGAGGGTGTTCACCGTCGCCCCCAAAACCACGACGACCGCCACCCCAACAACGCCCACGACGACGGCGCCTCGGAGGAAGATGACGACACCCCTGCGCAAGACGGCAACTCCGACCCGGAAGCCCTTCGTCCCCACCAGGAAGCCACCTGCGCCCACTCGCAAGCCCTACGTCCCACCAAAACCGGTGACCCCCACCAGACGAACCACCGCGACGATTCCACCAACGCCTCCGCAGGTGACCACTGTGGACAACAGCATCCACAAGGATGTCACCAAGCAGCGAGGAGACGTGCACAGTAAGTTTGAATTTTTTTTTTTTTTTTGTTTTGTTTATTTTTCTTCCCACCATGCAGCATGAATAAAAAACATTTTGTGGGTGGCTCTTAGTGGAATTTTAGGAACGTTTAGAGGCAGCGATGGTTTTAAAAGCTACCTTGCTAATAAAGGTCACAAATCTGACTTTTAAAAGCACTTTCAGATTCTTGCATATATTCGAGACTGTTAGTAAAGCACGTTATTTTTCCAGCCTTTTCTCGTCATCGTTGTTCATTTGACAGCGCCGAGGTGAAAAGATCACCTGAAAGTGCCCAGTGATGAATTCCTCATGGATCTTACACCGAGATGATCGCGTGGATCGAAATTTGTCAATACTTGGCCTTTTTAATGCGACATCAGTTGATCGCCTGCCATGCGCGACCTATCGACGACGTCATCGATCGCATCCGCCGCGTAAGACGTGAGAGCCAATACAAGCTCATTCAGTCCGAAGTCTTTCTGTGCCGCCATAGTGTTTTATGTGCGTAAGCCCAAAATCGAATCTATTTTTAGCCTCTTCGCGCTTCTTGTGGGCAGAGAGACGAGGAGGCGGAAGTTCCGGCTCATCGCCCTCGACCATCTAGTCACAAAGTAATGGCGTTGGTGGAATGGGGGTGCAGGGCACGTTTGTCACTGCTGGGCGCTTTATTTTATTTTATGTCCGACTGCAAAGCATCAACGGAAATTTGGGGATTAGAGTGAGTCAGATACGAACTAAACTCAGCTGCAAAGTTGGTTGTCACAGGTGAGGTGTTTGCACGAGCAGATGGCGGGCTTTAATTAGAAATGGGGGGTGGGGTGGAGCGGGGTGATGGGGGGGCGATAGGGGCGGAGAGAGGGTTTCATTAGCGGCTGTCAGGAGCTGCTTTTAAGAGCCGACTCCCCCACCGAGCAGTTATTCATCTAAGCGCTCGCAAATAAAAAGCAAAGGTGCCTTGAGGATATTTATCGAGGTTCATCATTCGGTGCAAATTGCCAAACCTATCGAGGCGATCGTCTTCATGCAAACATGTTGCAGACAACGCAGCTGAGCACACACACACACACAACAGAGCTAACGCTAGCGTCAAGGCTGTTAGTCGTTTCCCAACTTTTTTTTCCCCCTCCGTTCCAATAATCAAACAATCTTAAATTATTTTACCGTATTTCCCACAATAGCGGTCTCCATGCTTGGTGACAAAACTGCTCCAAAATGCCCCTCCTATTACCAAGGTGCGTCGTCCACGCCAATGAAAAGAACACAGCGCCCCAAATAAAACCGGCGCCCCAACTCCAGTTGACCTGCAGGGTTTTCCCATTTTCCCATACTTCTTCAAATCGCATCCTGTCGGTGCTGCGGTCCCAATTACTTCACAAGGTTGTATTGTCCATTGCATGAAATGAATGCCATACCTTTTATGCCTGGTAGTCTCTGCACTTGAGAACATTCATGAAATATATCTAGCAGGGGTCACCAGGTAGCCCCGACAGACCAGTAGACCGCAGGACTGATGACATAGAAGCCCGTATCGATATTCAAGAAATCGCTCTCTGTTTTAAAAACGGTTCGTGAGCCCAAATTTGTAGTTTTACCGTATTCTCTCATACACACCACGGGCCTCAATTCATAGCAATGCGCGCCATCATCCACTTTAAGAAATTAAACCCGAATCCGAATTAAATGACCTGCTACTCCAATTCAGTAACCAAACAACATTTATAGTTTGACTGCATTTCCTGAAATGATGTCCTTGGCTTTAACTCTTTGGGCCTGTTAATCAGTGTGTGCACCAAACAGTCCCGTCAATAAATAATCAAAACGCTGCACTCTAAATATGCTAAAATCCCATTGATGCATGAACAGATTTTTTTTTTTAAATCCAAAAATTATTTTAAAAAAAAAAGGGGGGGGGGGGGACAACCCTCCAATAAGCAATTTTCATGAACAATAGCCAGTGTGCTGTGCTGTGAGAACGCGGTTGTTTTCCTCTGCATGACCGTATTTCCCACAAGCAACAGATGCCATCGCCACATTCATCACTGGCTACATGATGAGGGTGTGTCCAAAGAGTTGAAATACATCTCCTTCGGCGTCGTCCATTCGAAAGGATAAATATGTGCCTGCGTCGAATAAGAGGACACTTGAAGATCTGTTTTCAGCCTCTTGCCTCAGAGTTCAAGTTACACTTTTTTTTTTTTTTTTTTTAAATAAATCGGTATCATTTTATTTATACACTTTGACCGGATGCATGATATCCAAGTAGTGGCGGGGGGGGTTCGTGATGTAGTTTGGGTACATTCCTTCAACACCATCTGTGTACACATGCGCACGCACACACACACACACACACACACACACACACACACACACACACACACACACACACACTGGATGCCAAGGATCGCTGGAGGTTCTAGTGCGAGTCTGACCTACTCCGCCTCCTCCTCCACTTACACGGCTTTTCGGTATTTAGACGCTCTGCCAGCTTTTATGACTCACTTGTTGGAGCCATCGGAGGTCACATGCGTCTGGAACAGGCTCACTCGAAGCCCAATGTATTATTATTATTTTTATAATTATTATTAGCCTGTCTCATCTAATCACGCCGAGAGCTTGATTTCTTTATCATGCAAGCCCTGAAGGGTTTTAACCAATAACGATAATTCAAAACATACCAGTCTCACTGTATTTTTTTTAAAGCTAATGTACCCTAATAATAGGATCTCTCTCTCTCTCTCTCTCTCTCTCTCTCTCTCTATATATATATATATATATAAGCCATTCCTTTGTCATTTTACGAAAATATACTGATTATGTGATCCATAGTTTTCCACTAAACTTCAACAAAGAGTGGCAACAAACAGCTTGAAGCAAGCACACTGGGTTTCTTTTTTTTTTTTTTAATTATTTTAAGCACTGCCTGCTGTATGACAAATTAAACACTCACAAGTCAAATGTTTGCTCTCAACACAAAACAAACCAGAAAAATCAACCGGGAGTCGGCTCAAGTCCCAAAAACCTCCGACGCTGGGCCACTCGTCAATTCACAAGGTCTCAGTGCATCGTCCTTTCTTCACGTATTCACGTTGACCCCGTTTCCCTCCTCAGTCCCTCGGAACCACAACCTCAACACAGTGCTGGACTTTGACATCGAGCTGGGCAACACGGCCGACGAAGCCAAGGACGACGCGGGTAAGATTTTTAGCGCTTCGCGCATCTTTTATACAGCAGACGTTGTCCATGAGCTAGATTGTGAGCTACCGGTCGCTCGCGAAGGACGTGTCGCCCGCTCTCATGGCATTAACTCACTCGCTGCCAGCCTTCCCAGTTTTATGCTAATGATGCACCTGCCTGCCCGTTAACGGTAGTGAATGAGAAGGACGTACAGAGCAGCCTGTCGCATGCTTCTGTTTCTGTATGGATGGATTCATGCAGTTATGTCAGGTACATCGCGACAAGTTGGACATGTAAGGAATTGCAAGTATATTTTTGAAATGAAAAATAAAAATAAACAAAGTGGAGGAGGTAGCTCATGAGGACGTGGCTCGTTTCGAAGTAGCTCGCGCGCTGGAAAAATTGCTCGCCTCCAAGCGAGCCCGAGGGTGTCTTTGAACATCTGCGGCTCAGACGAAATGACGGATGTTCTTCCCGTATTGCCGTCGTCACGGCAACATCATCCCTCGCCATTGCACGCTGTGAGCGCATGCATGGATTTTTTTTTTTTTTTTTTTGGGTGTGAAGAGAGCACGTTCATTTTAGCAGGCAAACCTTTTGCTTCTGTTTCGAAATAATCACAAAATCACAACACACGGTCAGTTATAGAGTCAAACTGCCACTGCCACACATTGCGGCATTGTGGTTAACTGTCACACACAAGTGTCAAAGCAATTTCACCGCGTTGAGATAAAATTGTAAGAAAAATAAGCCATTCCATTTTTTCCATTTTTTCTGAAAAAAAAGGAGAAGTTGCATCGAGCAGATTTGCCGAATGCACAATACAATGTCTTCATTTTAGGTAAAATGATTCGAATTAAAAAAAAAAAAAATCTGAATTGACTAATATGAGATTTATTTTATTTTTTTTAATGTCACAACATTTCAAGAAAGGTGTTCCGATCAGGAATTTTTTGCTGCCAATTCCGATACGGTTCATCCATGAGTGACATCAAGCCGATACCGATCACATGCATTAGCTGCAAATTTTTATTTTTTTCGAGCTGCTCACCGACAATTAATTGTCTTCATACTCGAATTATCCGTCATTTTTATTTTTTGGACTGGTTGATGAATCCGATTTTTAAAAAAGAAACACTGTATCCAAAATATCCATTCCTTCATCATGCAATAATGAGACATGATCTTAAATTGACATTGTAAAAAATATTGATAGCAGAAGATTCAGATCACCAATACTTATTTACATGTATATTTTTCAATTCTAAATAAAATAGCCCAGAGGGAAAAAAAAATTTTTCTAGCTTCTGTTACTGGACAATTCTGTCCCACTTTGAAGTTGATTTGCATGTCAAACATCTTCCTCCGGGTCAGATTCGGGCTTCCTGAGCTGCTCTTTCGACGACGGCCTCTGCGGGTGGATCAGGGACAAAGACGGAGACGTGCACTGGGAGACAACGCCAGACCCGGCAGGTAATGAAAGGCCAGTGAATTGGCGGTGTTACGCAATGCAAACAACACATCAATCTTGGACTCAATGATCGGAGACAAGATGGAGACCTTCGACGACAAAGGGATGCCGATGAATGACACGTTTGACTCCAATTACCATCTTTTTTTTTCCCCTTTACCTTGACTTAAGGTGGACATTTTTTGAATTGTTTTGTCGTGAGTCAGTGGTAGACAAACATGAAGTTGGAGCTCCTGGCGCCCTCGGAATGACTGAGTCTGTCTACACAAAAAAAGAAGTTCATTCACGAGATTGTCATATTTTTATTGTTCAATAACTGACTTTGGAGCTTCAACTGTATGGTGACTCAACGCAGTTCACATTTTCGGCAGTTATAATTAATAATTAGAAACCAAACATCGGGAATTGCACATTGAAAGCAACCGCATAGCTTCCGTCCCCTGAGTGCAAACATAAAATTGGAACCTCAAACACATGGAGACAGACCGTAACCATACCAACTGGGCTATATTATTTATCCTCTGTGAAGACTGCCTCATATTAGTGCCGTACTGATGACCTGAGAGCTGCTGAATCGCCGCAATGAATATTATATCCATCTGTCTGTCCTATACTGCCCCCAGGTGGTCGAGGCGTACACGCCACAATAAGCAGCACCGTTGAAAAATGTTTCATTCTTTTTAATTCTATTCAATTGCTATTCTTCATGTACTGTGACTTTGCAACTTCCCTTTTAGTTCGTTACAATTTCGTTTTTCCCAATTTGTCGATAAAAATGTGAATCCCCCCCCCACCAAAATTGAATTTGTTTTGAAAGGCGTTTCTCTCCGCAGGCGGTCGCTACCTTACCATCCCCGAAGTGGGCAACAAGAGGACGGGGCGGGGGGCGAGGCTGGTCCTCCCGTTGGCCCCACCCTGGAACGAGGGCAACCTTTGCCTGTCATTCCGCCACAAGCTGGCGGGGCACCACGTCGGCATGCTGCAGGTGTTCGTGAAGAAGGGCGCCCAGTACAGCCCAGCCGTGTGGGGCAGGACGGGCGGCAACAGCTGGAGACACACCCAGATAACGCTATGGGGAACCGGCCTGGAGAGCGTAAGTCCCGACGCCAAACACCGCTGAGGCTAGAATCGTTTCTCACTCTTTCAAGAGGTTCAATGACAGGTTTGCTTTTTTTTTTTTTTTTTTTTTTTTTTGCATTTTGGTGGGGCCATTGAAACTTTTTCAATTGTCAATTTGCTGCGTGAGCCCCCTAACTTGAGTTTGCTCGCTAGTGCTGCTCCCCCCTTGTCTTTGTTTGTGCGGGCCCTACTCACAATTCGAGTCAATCATATTTATATTTTTCTTTTAATCGATTTCTTTTCTTGACATCGTTTTCTCGTAATATTATGATAATGTAGTCTTGCCTGTCGCCTACATGTTTTTTTTTTTTTTTTTTTTTTAATTTGGACCTTGTCAGAATTGCTACTTTATCGTGAGATTACAATTTTGGCATTGCCAGATTTTGACATTCTGGGCGGAACATGAAAAATGGTTAAAATACCTCAAAATTTGTTTTTTGTCCCCTATTTTTTCCATAGTGATATTGTAAAAAGAAAAAAAAAACACCCTAATTCTTTTTTATTTGTAATGTATGACTTCTGTCTGTTGTGTTCATGTTCAGTTTTTCTCAGGTTACAATTTTATTCTGTTAATCCTTTTTTTTATGTCGTCTTCAAAATCGTGGTTAATTTTTTAAATTGTTTCTTTTAATTTCAACTGAAATTTCAAAATTTTTTGTCTCGCAATATTTCATATGTATTCCCGTAACCGAGGCCACGCACTGAAACTGTGCCCGTGCTGCCGGCAGGTGGTGCTGAAGGGTGAGCGCGGGCGGGGACGAAGCGGCGAGATGGCAGTGGACGACATCTCCCTCGCAAAAGGCTCCTGCACAGACGATCGCGACCCGACGAGTCTTTGACGCGGTGGCTCGAGGTGAAAAAAAAATGAAAGCGAAAACAATTCAAAGATCATCTCGATGAGCCGTGACTCTCGGTCGGACTCCTCTTCGCACTTGGCGCCCCCTTGCGTCCAGACCAATGAACAGCAGCACAGTTTGCTCCTCAAAATACAAAGACTAAACTCGGCGTCCAGTCTCATATGACCTGGAAGCCCGCGCCTGTGTGGTTGCCAAGGTAACGGCCACCTACAACCCTTCCCTCCCACCGCTGCCTGTTTAGTCGCCTTGCGCAATTGATGCAGTCGTACCAGTGGTGACCACTGGGGGGTCGTTTTCTGGTTCATCCGATCGGATCAAAATTGCAATGGAATATCAGGTCCGCCGTATGAAATCAATTTAGAAACAAGTTGACTTCAGTTTTTATTCAACAACAAAATGTTGCAAAAACAAAGTTTATATTTTCCCAGAGCAAAATTGACATTCATATGTGTGTGTGTGTGGGGGGGGGGGGGGGGGGAAAAAAAAAAA